GCATGACACATCGCGTGGTCCAAAGCCGGAACCTGGTCAGGTAGGTTCTCGCGTTGTACGTTTCCTCGAAGTGCTTCACTTCCTGGAAATGTGACTCCAGGCTTTGTGCAAAACCACGTCACTACAATGTAGCAGAATGTACCATAAGAAGCCGCTGAACTATGGCACGTTGGGTGAGCGGGCTCCCCAACGTGACCCTCATATACGCGCATTGTACTCTGGCGTGGGTGAGCGGGCTCCCCACGTCCCAATTTGGTCTTTCCTTTTCTCCATGTCTTTCTTTCTCTTTCTTCTCGAATGATTACGTATGTGCATTCTGCTTTTCTGCTGACTGGCTGCTCATATTCCAGTTTTACCTGTTCTAGTAGTTCCTGGAAATACATCGTACCATTCTAGGCAATGATCACACCACATCTCTAAATTGCGTTCTAAAAGAAGCACTCGCTCTCTCTTTTACTGCAGTCGAGACTCGGTCTCAGCTCTCTGTCTTGGTTTACTTTGAGCTAGCTCGGATTGAATGACTACTCACAACGTAAAACTAACAGTCTTTGTCTGTTGATCGTGTGGGGTTGAACTTGGACCAAGCCAGCTATATTGGTTGGCCCCTGGGTTGTGTTGGGCTTGTCGTGAGGCCACACGTCTATTAAGTCGCCACTCGTAGTGATTTCGGGGTCAGGTCACTGAGAGCCAGGGATGCGACAACAGCAACCGTGACCAGTTACAACCTCTGTCAACCAAGACTTGTTACAAATTCTGTCAACCATGATTTGTCACAAAATCTGTCACCAAGACTCGTCACATACTCTGTCAACCTTACAACCTCTACAACAAACTAACACGGAATTAAAGCTGTGTGGACCCTGGATAGCGCCAGACGTTACTGCAATAACGTCTTTTGCATAGCTACGGGAATAAAATATTTTGATGAGTGAGATTTCTTCATTATAGTAAGTTTTGTTGGGGCTGTAAGGCCTCATATGTGTTGGATGCTCAGACATGCCTGAAGCTTGCAAGATCGTTAACATATATGCCCGGATTAGCAAAAAGCATCAATGGTGTTTTTATCGAATTGTAGTTAGACCACTTTGTCGTGTTTGTGTGGTAATATCCTACTGATATCAAATTCGAAACTCGGCTATTGAGCCAATAATAAAAGTAGAAAGGAAAGGAGATATGGAAACGAGTTAAACCTTGAACCTTCCAAGTTCAGGGCTCACAGCATCACACAAAAGCGTGGGCGCCATTTTGGACAGGCCGCTGTCACACGAGCCAGCCAGCATGCCAGAAACGTGTACATGCGATCAGGCAGATATCTCTGAAAACTTGAAAGTGGGGTGCATTCAAAATGTTCATTTGTACCAATGCTTTTGCCTAGGCCTCTGAAACTCTAGGAACATACTCTCAATACCCATTGTAAGGATTTGTCCGAGAGGTTTTTTGTTTTAATCGATACGGTTTGGCGCACATATGGAGCCAAAGTATCAGTTGGTGCAGGCGTAATTCTGATTTGGATTATTGTACTAAAATTGAAAGTCTCTCGGAGAAGTTCTTCTAATTTTCCTACTGAAAATTTTAAGCTATTGGCCATCAAAATCGGGCCAGAGACGGGTACACACGAACATTTCAAAGGCAACCCTATCTGCAGTGCAGCCGCGAGGAAGAACCGCGCGCGCTGCACTTGTTGTGAATGCGGAAACAACACTAGCAGCAAAGCAATTTTTTGAAATGAGCCGGCGCAAGCGAAAAGGGACCTTATCCTGCTGCACGTGATTTTGAGAAAACCGCACTTGAAGTGAATCAGCTGATTCTCAGCTGTCACGTTTGGATCGAACTTGAAACTGTTCGTTTTTTGGCGATACGCGACTTCTTTGGAGCTCAGTCGTTCTTTGTATTGGAGAGCCAGTATCCTACAGCTCCTGTAGAAGAAAACCCTGGCTAAATCGACCCACGTACCACCAATCGGCGATCAAAATCGATCGACCGTGACACGTCGACACCTCCGCTGAATAAAATCGCACGCGCGGGCGGAAAGACAAAGAGTTGCTTTCACAGTTTCAGCGCAGTTGTCTTGCCGTCTTCGCTTTCTGCTAAGTCCTTGGGTCGGCGTAGCTGTTCACTATGAGCTATCGTAAATGTTTCACCGTGAACGAAGCGCTGAAATCTCTCCTGGAAGAGGACGAGGCTGAAGTTTTTGGTGAGGAAGACGAGTCGGACGCCAGTGACGTTTCAGTTCAACCTGACGACGGCGACGATGATGGCGATGACGGTGGTGAACACTTTCTCCAGCAGCGAGTGGATGTTGACGCAGCAGCAGAGCTGTATGTCGGAAAGGCAGAGCCCAAACCTCCGCAGGCTAGCTCCGCAGCAGCTTGTGCAGCGACCGTTGCGCCGGCAGAGGAGGATGACACTGTTCATCAAAAAGAGAACTGCGGATGTTCAAAAAATTGCTTGCAGCAATTTGACCCAGCTGACATCGAGACGTCGATCCTGAACATGAGAGAAATGGAGTCGAACGAGAGTGAGCTGGTGGTCCTGGGCCTTCTTGAAGCTTTGAGTCATCCTGAAACAGTTTTTGAGAGTGGAGAGAAGCGCAAGAGGGAGCGTTTTACCTACAAATTCCAAGGACTGACTCTTTGTGTGGGTGCGTTCCGTCACGTGTACGCACTGTCTAGCAAGAGGCTGAAACGGTACAGAAGCCACCTGGAGAAGAATGTGCTTGTGCCACTAGTGCACGGCAACACAGGCAAACGGCCACACAATGCCCTGGAGTTTGCTGTTGTGAAGTACTGCGTGGAGTACATCACTGGGCACACGGAAGTGTTTGGAATTCCACATCCTGCGCCACTCCGTGGCAGAGACGACACGCCACCTATCTTCCTTCCAGCGTCACAAACGTACAAGTCCGTGCATGCAGACTTCTGCGACTGCTGCCACAAGGAGGGTAAGCAGTCTGTATCCTTGTCGACGTTCCGCTCCATCTGGCACCAGACATTGCCGCATATTAAGTTCATGACGGCTCGCATGGATGTTTGCCCTGTGTGCGAGGACTTGCGGCGCAACGTGATGGCGGCTGGCAGTGAGGAGCAGAAGACGACCGCATGCACTCAGCTGACTGACCATGTTCATAGGGCCCAGAGGGAGAGAGAGAGCTACCGGCAGAGAACCACAGATGCTGCTGCTGAGCTTCAGCAAGTTTCAGTTATGTCTCCTGCTGATCGCCCGCCGTTAACAAAGTCCCACTACACGTTTGACTTTGCTCAGAGCGTCAGCTTGCCGTATACGGCCAGACAGGTAGGACCACTTTACTTCAAAGTGCCTCGGAAAGTCCACTTGTTTGGTGTATGTAATGAAGGCGTTGGCCAACAGGTGAACTACATTATTGACGAGGCAGAAACCATCGGTCCTGACGGCAAGAAGAGCCACAATCCGAACACTGTAATTTCTTTGTTGCACGACTATTTTTCCACTTCTGTTGCTGATGAGTATGACTGCTGCCTACATGCAGATAATTGCGCAGGACAAAACAAAAATAAGTCTGTTATAGCTTACCTTGCATGGCGTTGCATTGTCAATTTGCACAGAAGTATAACATTGTCGTTTATGATAACCGGCCATACCAGATGCCTAGTCGACGGTATGTTTGGCTTGGTTAAGAGGAAATACCGTCGCTCTGACGTGTTCAGCATGCAGCAGTTAGCAGATGTGGTTGACTCCAGCGCTACCTCCAACATCCATTGACGGATACCTGGCAATGTGACCTGGTTTGAGTGGGATACGTACCTCGCCCGGCTCTTCAAAAAAGTCCCCAACATCAGCCAGCAGCATCATTTCCGGTTCTCATCTGACGAACCTGGAGCAGTGGCAGTGATGGAGCTTGTGGATGGGATGGAAACCAAGGTACAGCTGTTGAAGACCACACCTGAGCAGGTGAGGGCAGCAGGCCTTCCCCAAGTGTTGCCCCCAGCAGGTCTGTCACAAGAACGCCAGAAGTACCTGTTCAAGGATATTCGGCCGTTTGTGGCAGACCCTTACAAGGATGAGCTGTGTCCGCCTGTGCCGGAGGAATGACAAACTTGCGTAGTGCAACACACGTTTTGAGCCTTATAATTGCTAGAGTCTGGTGCTGTGTCAAAGCTACATGCCTCAGAACATTCTATTATTCTTGTTGTTAGATCTAAAATGCGGCGTGCCTGCGTGGTACGGAAGGACGTGATGGCCCATCACACGTCACGCTTGGCACTATAAATTCCATCACAGTGAAACTTATGCCAACTGACCAGTAGTGTGTGTATACTGTATCATTCAGCCCTTCTGCTGATGACTCGAACGCTTCTGTAAGGCTTCTATGGCCAAATTATTGCAATTTACGCATTTAAAAGATTATTCGTGAATATGTGCGATGTTTTGGTGAAAACAGTGTTGATTTAAACGTCCGTAACTTTGCTATATGTTGATGGATTTTCATTCGTTTTTTTATCTGATTCATACGTTCTCTGGCTACAAGAATCCGTTGCTAACTCAAAATGCCCAAAAAACGGATAAGGTCCCTTTTCGCTTGTGCTGGCTCAAATGTTTTGCTACTCGCCTGGCGCTTCATCGCTGTGTCCTCCAGGAGTTATCATGGTTATGGCAGACCGAAGAAATACATGGCCAGCACAACGGCGAAGCCATTGGACTTGTTCTCTTGCAACGAAACGGAGTGGCGAATCAAATAATTCACAACTCCACATCGTCACCACTGCGCTACACGGCTCTTCGCAGACCAGCCGTATATTTATGTTTACACAACAGGACCTCACGGCGGAGAAACTAAAACTAGAACACGACGTGAGTCATTGCTCCATGCCGTCAAGGAATGCTAGTCCTTTCCCTCTCCCGTCACCCGCGCCTGAGCATCAGCGGCGTAGCTGCCCGGCTGTAGATGTTGAACTCTTTCGTCAACGACTGCAGGATTCTGCTCGGGGCTACTTTTCGCAGGACTCCGTGTGCGGACAGTCTGAATGAAGCCTTCGGCCGATAAGGCCAACACTGCTCGCGAAATAATCCACTTGGAAGGAAAGAACTACCGAAATGAAATAGAGATAGTGAGACAGTCTCCGGCCATCTCCTTCACCATTCACGACTCAGTCTTTGTCACAGCAACTAAGCCCAAGCAAGTCAAAATCTCCTTGCGCGACTGCGTTCTACGCCTGCGCTTAGCGGTCACGCGAGTTCGTTTCTATGGTGATCAGATCCAAGATGTCCTCCCACGTAATCGAGGTTTTGGCATGGTTGCTGTGAGCCCTGAAGTTGGAAGGCTGTCGGTTTAGCGCTACGGAGATGTGTTGAAGCTAGGTGGCAGGATGTTGAATGTCTCAGTACTCTGTCAGTTTTGTGCCTAGTTATTGCACTTTCTGACTGTAGATAGTATCCAGTTACAGTGGTAGACAGTTACTCTTAACTCGTTTCCATGTCCTTTTCCTTTCTACTGATATCAAATTCATCAAACATTTAAACAAGTGTGATTTCTTCCTTATTGCAAATGCTTTCGGGGCTGTAAGGCCTCCTATGTGTTATGTGCGGATATGATAGCATGATAGCACATCCTCTTGTTAACCTGTGGATTTTGGACAACTTATTGGTGATTCGTTATGCAGTTCACAGCTATTGTTCTAACGAGCACAAGTATAACGGTTTCTTAAAATTGGCCAGGTGACGTGTTCCAAAGATAACGGCTATCATTCCATTATAGTATTCTCGGTGCTTACTAGCAACAGTAGACCATTTCTGCAGAACGTTTTCTCTTTCAACGACGAGATTTCTCCCCGTCACCTCGTTAGATTCAGCACTTGGTATTATAATATAAGACTTTTACAGTGACATACCTTACAGTTCCACCTCCAAATATGGAATAATCACGTTACAAAAATAAGAGTGGTATGCTAGATGTGAATAAAAATTATTGTTAAATTTGAGCTCTCTGATTTTGTTTTGTCTCTCAGAGGTGAATAAGACCAATCCACTCTTCACTCATCTTCAGGGCGATATGCCAGTAGTTAGTTTCTACCTCCCAGTCGTAAAGCCTGGCTACTCAAGACAGCTGGTGGGGATTGGACACAATGGCTCGGTGAATGTTTCGAAGGAATTCAAAAATTCTCAAGTGGGTGACAGTGACTATGTGTTCCTCAACCCAGGGTATGATATCTACGGTTTCCAATATGTTCGTGACAGCGATGGTCGTAGGTCACCTGTCGGTGCCAAGTTCTCATTGGGTAAGTACTCAAGGAGTACAAAGGAGACAAGAAAAATGATGATTTTGCAATACCCATCCACTTTTGAATATTCAAGTAGCATTTACAACAATCTTTCCTCTTGTAGTTTGATGTGTTAATTTGAGGTGTTAATTCGAAAAGGCGCAACCTATTGAGAATCGAGAAGCTGACCATACAGAGCAATGTCAAGAACACGAAGAGCGTGAGCAAAAGAAGCAAACTAGTATCAAAATGCCACTACAAAAATAAATATCACATATAAAAACTTCACACCTAGGGTGACATAGTGGAACAAGTTAGTAGCCAGTCGAAGGATTTTTTTAGTTGCACGTCTATGAAAGTGCACATGCCTACATAGAATGGAAGAGAACAAGAACAACAACAAGAGAATACAGTTGACTACAAAGGGCGTGGAGGTGCTATACAGATGTGTCAGTGAGGTGAAGTGCGCTGTCCCCATCAATGATCTCTGGATTAAGGCACACATCACGCATGATGTTGAATGAAAGAATAATAAGAACCTTTGTCACTTAGGGTATGCCACGTTCTATGCAGAATGAGCGCAATTGCGCCAATTTAGCCCTATAAAGATCAGTCTATTCTTATTATTCTTTCATTCAACATCATATGCCTCCACTGATGAGCTCAGGAGGAGCAAAACAGCTATCTGGAGGGTCATTGTCAATATCAATCTATATACCGGAATTGTCCTCGCTGTGGTGATGGTGATGTGAGTGCAGCGTTTGGATCGGCAAAGAGCGCAATGTGGTGGTGGTGGTGTATTGGATTCCATAATGGCCGGGTCGTCGCTACTTCTTCTCAACTTCTGAACCGACATTTGTGTACTTTATTCATGCGATGTAAAAACAGTGGAGACGATGTGAAATAAAACGATGAAATTAATTTAAATATGAAGAAATGGTGTAGAGAAAGCGGAGAAAGCGGAGGATGGAACGGACGGCGAAGGGAGCAGTGAGTCGGAGAGCAATGATGGGAGTGATGGTGAGAGTGCCGGTGAGAGTGTTAGTGTTGTGCGTAGGTTTCGTGATAGCAAATCTTCAGTGTACAATCATCTGCTAGCTAGTCCTGATTGTTGCAATTCGTATTCCGACTCTTCGTTCACTGTATTGTGCCGTGATCGTCATGGTTATGGACTACAGTTAAAAGTGTTGGAAGCTATCTATCAGCGTCTGTGTAAGCCCAATTTGTGTGTACAGAAATATAGTATAATTGGGTTGAAATTGTTTAAGTAACGTGTCGTGTTTGGTGTGGCCAAGCTTGCCCCGTTAATGTTCTAGGTGAAATGTGCTGCTGTTATGTGTTATCACTTTGTCCTTCCTTCTTTTTTTCTCTTGATTGTTCTTTTTTCCATTTGCAAGTATATTGTTAGCACATGCATTCGTTATTGCTCTCGCTTTGATTGTTAAAATTCACACTTTTGAATTTCTCTGCAGTTGTTGTTAGTGTTATTTCTCTAACTTAGACTTTCTATAATCATAGTTCAATTTGGTTTCAGTGTCCTTTAGTACAACGACGATTCCTGATGAGTGCTGTACGAAAAATTGTTTGAATCCATATTTTCTCTACACCATTTCTTCATATTTTAATTGTTCCCGTAGCTATGCAGAAGACGTTACTTCAGTAACGTCTGGCGCTAGCCAGGGTCCACACAGCTTTAATTTTGTGTTTGTTTGTTTGTTTGTGTCATGCCTGGCGCTATCCCGTATCTGTCCCATACCGTACCATCAAACACAGCTGGCCACAATATTTGCTGGCTCCCGTATCTGTCCCGTACCGTACCGTACCATCAAACACAGCTGGCCACAAACAGCTGGCCACAATATTCGTCGTATTATTTAAACGATTTCCTGATGTATACAGTATAGGGAGGTTTTCTGGAAAGAAATAGGGTAACGAGGAGGAAATGCAATTAGAATGGACGTTAGTTGCCGAATAGGTGATAGGCTGCGTCAGCAAAAACATACTTTGGAAGGGAGATCCCGTCGTCTCCAAAATAAGCGTGAACGGGCGAGTCAGCGGCGGTCACAGGAAACGTCGAAAGAGAGATCCCATCGACTCCAGAACGCCCGTGATCGGCAGAGCCAGCGCCGGCCCCGTAACTGTGCAGAAGACGTTACTTCAGTAACTCCTTGAAACGATTTTGCAATAAAATGATGTAGCTAATCGAAAGAAAAAAAATTTCCATCAGTTCTAACAACATGCACGATGAGCTAGGCAACAGAGCATAGCGTAGGGCCCTGAGCTTCCAAGCTCTCTCGTTTTATTGCACATCGCCTCCATCGTTTTTACATTGCATGAATAGAGTACACAAATGTTGGTTCAGTTCATTTTATTGATTGCGGTTATCAAATGAAGAATTAGCAGTTATTAGAACTAGGGCTGAAACGATCATTCGATATCTCTTAACGATCAACCAATATCATTAACGATCGATATAATTGGTTTTATCGTTTCTTGTCGGCTCTACCCGTGTACCTCGAACACCAGTTTATCAAGATATTCGACGATACCTTTAAAACGTTAGAACTTTGTGGCTCCGCACTGTTGACATCTGTAGACATCTGGCTGGTTTATCAACATGAACTAGAGGATTTCACGTTGTTTCTAGAGCGAAGAATCTTGTCATCACCCTCCGGCAACTGCTCTGACCTTTCCCACAAATGAACTGAAAAGACAAAGTCTTCTCTCCCGATCTCTTTCAAAGCCACAAGTCAATTTTACTGCGCTTGAAAGTACATGATTGTACTCGTATTCGCTATCGATGGAGTGCAAGGGCTAGAATACTGTCACTGATATACACGCATAAACATCGTTAGCACTCGTTTTGAACACTAACGATTATCGATTCCACTCTTAACGATTGATATGCGAGTTATCGGTATAATTGTTTCAGCCCTAATTAGAACACAAGCTGCGTGTTGAACTTGATTTAGCAAACGATTTTACTGATGCAGGTAAGCCCAGCCAGAGAGAATAGGCAGCGAAACCGAGATCTGGTATAAACTGATGTTCGGGCTTTAGGCAAAGTGCAGGAATTGCGTATAGGACGAGCGGGAAGAAACCAATTATATTTACACAAGTGTGGCGGAGCCTTGTTGAGACGAATAGAATGAACAACAATACACAGTTTTCGATCGGCTTGACTGGAGATGGGGAAGGTGTTAAACACAGATCATACAGCTCAACAAAAGGAAAGTATGATGGTTTGCGGGAAAGGACTTTCAGTATCCTCTTATTGTGGACTTCCAGGGTACTCATCATAGATTTACTTAGTAGGGATGACCAGCCGGTTGAGCAAAAGAGAAAATGGGGAGAATATAGCAATGATAAGAAAGGCGAAGGCATTAAAGCGGTAGATGGGAGCAGTGAGACACGAGGTAGCCAACAGCTTTACTGATTTTGCTACAGATATAGTCGACATGTCTACTGAACGATAAGTAACAATGTCACTTTGTTAACCAGCTGTACAAATTAGATAGGTGTGTCCAAATCTCTGTCTCTCTCTCTGTCTCTCTCTCTCTCTCTCTCTCTCTCTCTCTCTCTCTCTCTCTCTCTCTCTCTTTCTCTCTCTCTTTCTCTTTCTCTCTGTCTCTGTCTCTGTCTCCCTGTCTCTCTCTCTCTCTCTCTCTCTCTCTCTCTCTATCTCTCTCTCTCTCTCTGTCTCTCTCTCTCTCGCTCTCTCTCTCTCTCTCTCTCTCTCTCTCTCTCTCTCTCTCTCTCTCTCTCTCTCTCTCTCTCTCTCTCTCTCTCTCTCTCTCTCTCTCGCTCTCGCTCTCGCTCTCGCTCGGTCTCAGTCTCTGTCTCTGTCTCTGTCTCGGTCTCTGTCACTGTCTCTCTGTTAGCCAGTTTTACGAGTTAGATAGGTGTGTCCAAATCTCTATCTATCTCTCTCTTTCTATCTCGCTCTCTCTCTCACTCTCTCTCTGCCGCTGCCTCGGTGTTGGTCTTTCTCTCTGTATCTGTCTCTGTCTCTCTCTGTGTCTCTGTCTCTGTCTCTGTCTCGGCTTCGGTCTCGTTCTCGGTCTCTATCTCGTTTTCGTTCTCGGTTTCGGTCTCGGTCTCGGTCTCTGTCTCTTTCTCTCTCTTTCTGTCTCTCTCTTTCTTTCCCTATCTTTCTCTCTCTGTCTCTCTGTCTCTCTCCATCTCACTCTATCTTTATCTCTCTGTCTCTCCCTTTCTTTCCCTCTCTCTCCGTCTCTCTGTCTCTCTCTCATAATCCTGCTTGCTAAGGCCCCTTGCACACTACGTACAAGTAAAACGTTGCTTTTTAGCGTATGCGTCACTTTCAAGCAAGTCCCGATCAGTTCCATTGCACACTTGAAAAGACATTTTCGTTTTAATAAAATACTCATAAAATTTTCTATGGCAACTGCCGCCTCACCGGTGTTGCATGGAGATAGTGCGGGAAATTTTAAAATTTTTAAAACTTTTCTCTCCGAGCTTGGTCTGCAGAAATGTTTGTCGAGTGTTGGTGAAATGCTATTACTTCAACATGGATCTGCGACTTCCCATCGAATGCCATGTCCAGGCCAACACTCCCAGCATACAGATTGAGGTCTTCAGCGATCTCTTTCTCCTTCTGTGACCTCTTCTTCATCGTTCCACTTTCTCCCGCTGGTAGTGTGCCCACAGCTCGATCAACTTCCCCTCCATCTCATCATTGAACACAACTTTTGGCATGCTGAACTTCATCTTCTCAAACTAGCTTCAACGCGACAGAAGGAAACAAACAACGTGCAACTACTCAAAACAAGGAACAAATCGAAAGGAAAAAAATGCTGACGACAAGAGTCAAGAAGTCTCACGGAAGGACAGGTGCAAAGCAAACTAAGGTCCAGAAATGCAAATAAAACATAAACGTACCTTTGTATACCCGTCTGGAGTTTGCTGAATACGTTTGCGCAACATCTTAGGTTTCCCGCGAAAAGCAGACCGTTTGCATGGTAACTTTTACAGGAACGCAACAAAAATGGGATTTTCTATGTAGTGTGCAAGGGGCCTAATCGAATGTATGCAGTTATGACATGCCACTAACGTTCCCATACTCTGTGCCTTGTGCTTGTCCTCCAAACACTTTTTTGATGCTGTTTTTGGTACTGATGCTGATGCTACTCCTGACGATGCTACTGGCCCACAACAAACTCCAGTGCCTACACCAGGTGAGATTGAAGTCATTGAATTCAACTTGCCTGCATCATACTTCCTATGCATGAACTAAATGTGTGTTTATCTTTTAAGTGCCTGTAAGCCGTTATTCATAAAGCGGAAACATTTACGTAGAAAACGGGATCCTAGAGATGGAACTGTCATCTTTCAAAAACTTCCGTTGATCATGGCCGTGTTTGCTCAAAACATCTCCTACATCGAGTAGCACATTCAAAGGTTTTCATTAGCTTCCACAATAGCTTCACACGCGATACAAGTTTGTGGAGCCAGGGCACGCATTCGAGACATGTGGCCTCTTTATTGGAAATCCTGTACACTGATGGTGCTTTTTGTGCGAGCATGTGTAATCGAGTAACTTGGCTCTGCCGGCCATGACTCGTTACAGCCTCTGTCAGCTATGACGTCACTGTTATTGCAGCAACCCTGACCAGTTACAATCTCTGCCAACCAAGACTCGTCACAACTCTGTCAACCATGACTTGTCACACCATCTGTCAACCATGCATGACTTGTTACAAACTCTGTCAATAATGACTTGTTACAATGTACATGTACACCCTCTGTTAACCATGACTGGTTACATGCCAGCTCAGTATGTACATACACAGTCTATGCATGCCTGGTCATAGGTCTCTAGCTAGGTGATTATGAAATGCTGTAAGACAAGGGAATAAAACCAGGGAGTAAATAAAATATGTTTATGATTGAGATTTCTTCGTTATACAGGCGGAATCCTGATAATTTGAATATGGCTTATTTCGAACATGCCGCTTATTAGAAGTTTTTCAAGGACCGATTTCTATCAATACGATTCCCACATAAAAAATTCTGATAATTCGAACCTCGAACTGGATATGTCTGGTTAATTAGAAGTCCCACAGATTCCACTAACATAGAAAATGTGTAGGATTTGTGCTGATAATTTGAAGTTAGCAAAGTGTAATTCGAAGTTCACTGTACATTGTGCTGGTCAGTACAGTTTGCATGAGCCGCTGAGGCTGTGCCGGTCAGTTCAGCATCCGTGAAATCTGTATCCAAGGTCCATAGCGCAACTCTGCATGACCACGAGAGCATTTTGACATACATATTGTGTTGTGGGTTCATGTTTGGATAATTAGAATGTCCGGGTAATCAGAAGTTTTTTCCTGGCATTTTGAGGTTCGAATTATCAGGATTCCACCTGTAGTAAGTTCTGTTGGGGCTGTAAGGCCCCCTTATTATGTATTTTATGCGCATATGCCTGAAAACTGCAAGATCGTGAATATATTTTCTAGTTGACCTGTGTATTTTGGACAACTAATTTGCGAATCTTTGTAATACTGGAAATAGCTACTGAGCACTATTCCAACGGGCCGCAAATATAACGTCGAAAATGATGTCCTTAAATTGGCCGGTTTACGTGTACGAAAGATAACGGCGATCACTACAAATCACTAAGACTGCACCTGATTCTTGCGCTATGATACGCGCCGCCTATGATACCCCTCGGAAGTTCCCACCTTGCTCCCCTGATATTCAGGCTGCCCATTTTGGAACCATCAGTTGCCTGATGATCGTAGTAATACGTGAAACTCAGAGTTGTGACAAAGCACAGAGCAGCATCCATTCCAGAAAAAAGAGCTAAAAAACGAGTGAGACTGCATGCCTGAGTACATGAGTACATGCATGAGAACAACCAGGAAATAGTCAATTTCAGCGTTTCTGCTCCTTGCTTCGACTAGCTACAAAGATTACACCAAAGGATCAAACAACAACCATTTTCTTCATTTTTTGGCAGATGGCTTACTGGTGCTTGGACCAGCACGCCAAAAAACAAACCTCAGAGGAGTACAAAAATGACAACTCTCAATGTCCTCGATTGATGGCCATGTCTCAGTGCTTACTAGCAACAGTAGATTTATCCATTTCTGCAGAACGTGTTCTCTTTCAACGACGAGATTTCTCCCCGTCACCTAGTGAGATTTAGCACTTGGCTTTAAAGGCGTAATAATAAAGCTTTTACAGTGACATACCTTACAGTTCCACCTCCAAATATGGAATAATCACGTTACGTAATAAGAGTGGTATGCTAGATGTGAATAGCAATTATTCCCGTAGCTATGCAGAAGACGTTACTTCAGTAACGTCTGGCGCTAGCCAGGGTCCACACAGCTTTAATTTGGTGTTTGTTTGTGTGTTTGTTTGTGTTACGCCTGGCGCTATCCGTATCTGACGGCAAAAAGCATAGGATGTTATAAATTTTTCAATTCTCCTTTTTTTTCAGGCATATCCTGGGATTCGAACCCGCACTATCGCCCTACATGCATTCCCCCATACACTTCGCATTCATGCCCATTCTTCCAAGTTGCTTTGCGTTATTATCTTGCATTTGAAAGCCCTATTTGAATATTGCGGGCAGCTGTATGTGGCCAGCTGTGTTTGATGGTACGGTACGGTACGGGAGACGGTGTCGTATTACCCTCGATCGTATCTGTCCCGTACCTATCCCCTACCGTACCGTGCCATCAAAGACGGCTGGCCACAATGCATATTCAAATAGGGCTTTCAAATGCAAGATCACAATGTGAAACAACTTGGAAGAATTAGTATGTATGCGAAGTGTGTCGGGGGATGCATGCAGGGCGCGCGATAGTGCGGGTTCGAATCCCAGGTTATGTCTTAAAAAAAAGAGAAATTTTTTAAAGAATTTATAACATCCCTATGCTTTTTTTTGTCTAGGTCATCAAGGCAAAAAAGCATAGCGTAGGGCCCTGAGCTTCCAAGCTCTCTCGTTTTAAAATTTGAGCTCTCTGATTTGTTTTGTCTCTCAGAGGTGAAGGAGTTGAATCCAGCTTTCACTGATCATACTGGCACACTGGTTAGCTTCCACCTACCAGCTGTAAAGCCTGGCTACACAAGACAGCTGGTGGAGATTGGACAACCGGGCGCGGTGGATGTTTCGATGAGATGGAATTCTGAAGGGCCGGATGACACCAGCGACTATGTGAAACAAACCCCAGGCTATCATGTCTACGGTTTCCAATACGTTCATGTCAGCACTGGTTGGAGGTCACCCATCGGTGCCAAGTTCTCAGTAGGTACTCCCCCTGGTAAGTACCTACAGATCATCTTTTTGCTGCACCGGACTACCTTGCATATTACAGTAACAAATATATATTTAACAAGGACGCAAAATTAACGTTTTAACATATTATCGTAATAATAAGTTCTGTTGCGGCTGTAAGGCCACATTTGTGATGTGGGCGGATCACCTCTTTCTCTCTCTCTCTCTTTCTCTCTCTCCCCGTGTGTGTCTGTGTGTCTGTCTGTCTGTCTCTGTCTCTGTCTCTTTCTCTCTCTGTCTCTCTCTTTCTCTCTCTTTCACTCTCTCTCTCTCTCTCTATCTATCTATCTATCTATCTATCTATCTATCTATCTCTCTGTCTCTCCTTTCTCTGTCTCTTCTCTCTCTGCCTCGGTCTCGTTCTCTTTCTCTCTCTCTCTCTCTCTCTCTCTCTCTCTCTCTCTCTCTCTCTCTCTCTCTCTCTCTCTCTCTCTCTCTCTCTCTCTCTCTCTCTCTCTCTCGCTCTCTCTCTCTCTGTATCTCTCTGTCTCTGTCTCCGTCTCTGTCTCTGTCTCTGTCTCCGTCTCTGTCTCTGTCTCTGTCTCGGTTTCGGGCTTGGTCTCTGTCTCTTTCTCTCTCTCTCTGTCTCTCTCTCTCTTTCTTTCCCTCTCTCTGTCTGTCTCTCTGTGTTTCTCCATCTCACTCTATCTTTATCTTTCTGTCTCTCTTTCTTTCTTTCCCTCTCGCTCTCTCTCTCTCTGTCTCTCTGTCTCTCTGCCTCTCTCCATCTCACTCTATATTTATCTCTCTGTCTCTCTCTCATAATCCTTGCTAATCGAATGTGTGCAGTTATGACATGCCACTAACCATACTCTGTGCCTTGTGCTTGTCCTCCAAAAACTTTCTTGATGCTGTTTTTGGTGCTGATGCTGATGCTGTTGCTACTCCTGAAGATGCTACTGTCGCACAACAAACTCCAGTTCCTACACCAGGTGAGATTGAAGTCGTTGAATTCAACTTGCCTGCATCATACTTCCTATGCATCAACTACATGTGTGTTTATCTTTTAAGTGCCTGTAAGCCGTTATTCATAAAGTGGAAACAATTACGTAGAAACGGGATCCTAGAGATGGAACTGTCATCTTTCAAAAACTGCGGTTGATCATGGCCGTGTTTGCTCAAAACATATCCTACATCGAGTAGCACATTCAAAGGTTTTCATTAGCTTCCACAATAGCTTCACACGCGATACAAGTTTGTGGAGCCAGGGCACGCATTCCAGACATGTGGGTTTACGTGTAGGAAAGATAACGGCGATCACTACAAATCACTACGCCTGCACCTGACGCATGCGCTAGGATACACGTCGCCAATGATACCCCTCGGAAGTTCTCGCATTCCTCCCCCTTATGTTCAGGCTGCCCATTTTGGAACCACCAGTTGCCTGATGATCGTAGTAATACGAGAAAGTTGTCATAGGTTCTCAATAAAATATGGATTTTGGGGTTTATTTGCTCCTCATATTGACATGAATCTATAAATAATAATGTCAACAGACGATATCACTATTGCCGTTTGTTGCAGTCAATCATTTAACGTTGTTGTCAACTGTTGATGTGTCTTCTTGCTCATTTATTTGTCTCAGAAGGGAAGTGTGGCGTCGTCCCAACTATCGATCTCGGAGAGTATCGAGTAGTCGATGCAGGTGTTGGAAACGTAGCTACTTATCACTGTAGCCCAGGCTATCACATGATAGGATCTGGTCTGGTGATCTGCCAAGAAAATGGACAATGGTCTGAAGCCCCTTCATGTGAGTGTAATAAGGAATATTTCTGATAGAAGAAAGGGGGTTTCAACTGTTAACCCGGCTTTTCATTTGCTATTCACGATCTGCGATTTAATCTATTGTCGATGTAAAATTAAGAATTATCTGCCCGCCTGTGTAGATTCAATACCCATGAATGCTCTACACATTTGTGTTCCGCTTCTGTCCAATCGGATGAGAAGTCCACTCCAGAAGTACAGCCTGTGAAAACAGATCACGGACGGTCAGCCAGACGTCCCCCCCCCCCCCCCGTGTAGATAGTGAAAAGTATTTCAAGTAGTGAAGTGAGCCCTGCACGTTTGTTGGCTTCTTGACGCTACAGAGAAGAGCAAGGCAATAGCTATGGCGTAGTAGTAGCACGCCAATTGGGAGAACATTAGCAATCTAAAATGTCCACTGTGCACATGCTTTGTTCTCTGTCGATTACTCTCTGCAACAAGAAAACTGTGTACATATATGTCCCTGCATTCAAACCCAAATAGCCAAACCCGTTGTTAGACTGAAAGTTGTGTACATACATGTCCCTGCATTCAAACCCAAAAGCTAAACCCGTTGTTAGACTGAAAGTTGTGTACATATATGTCCCTGCATTCAAACCCAAATAGCCAAACCCGTTGTTAGACTGAAAGTTGTGTACATACATGTCCCTGCATTCAAACCCAAAAGCTAAGCCCTTTGTTAGACTGAAAGTTGTGTACATACATGTCCCTGCATTCAAACCCAAATAGCCAAACCCGTTGTTAGACTGAAAGTTGTGTACATATATGTCCCTGCATTCAAACCCAAATAGCCAAACCCGTTGTTAGACTGAAAGTTGTGTACATACATGTCCCTGCATTCAAACCCAAAAGCTAAACCCGTTGTTAGACTGAAAGTTGTGTACATACATGTCCCTGCATTCAAACCCAAATAGCTAAACCCGTTGTTAGACTGAAAGTTGTGTACATACATGTCCCTGCATTCAAACCCAAATAGCTAAACCCGTTGTTAGACTGAAAGTTGTGCATGTAGTCATAGGAGAGGTAGGTAGTTAGTTCAGAGTGTAACTAGTCATGGTGTTTGTAGGACTTTGACTGCGTACTGGGGATCTGACTGCCTATAGATGAGTCAGTGCACACCATCCAACTGTTTACAGGTTTTAGATTGCATAGTGGCCTCCCGACTGTCTATAGTCAGATGAATACCTCCTGAGTCCAACATACAAACTTCTTTTCCTCAAGTTCTCTCTTTTCCATTCCCTAAACTTGTGAATATTTGATTCTTTGGGTCTCCAAGGGAACTAGTTTGTGTGTGAAATGTGTGAGTACAGGGATGGCTGAGTGCCAAAAGCTCCTCGTGACAGTCATTTTTTTGATTTTTTTGCCATTTCCCTTTCCCACTCCCTGTCCTGGTGAATATTTTATACTAATCTATCATGTTTGATATGCACAGGTTATTCCTATTGCCAACCATTGCGTATCCCTAATGGTCGTATTGAAGAGATTGGTCATAATGGCAGTTCTCTTCCTCTTGCCGAAGTTGAACCAATATGTGAGCCAGGTTTTGATAGTGTGGGTAAAGCGACTTGCTCGGGAGAGCGGGTAGGATGGGAATATGAAACACCATTGTGTGATACCTGGAAAAATGCCCGTAAGTACATTAATAATCTCCTTTTAAATCAATCTCCGGACAGTTAGCTACTTGTTGCTTGTTAGGTCTTATCAGAGGATTAAGGAGTTTCCTTTATGAGTGGATCCCAGTCAAGGTTAATAAACAGATGACCTCTAAGGCTCAAAGTCAGCGTGCTCTGACTGCCACAGATATCGTAATCATTGTATGATGAAATACAATGGTTAAAGTTAATTTTAACTTCTTTAGATATGTCCTTCCTTGTATACGTACATGTATCTATTTAAGGTGTAAACATTTCCCTTGCATTCACGAAAAATGCAAACGAGTAAGAAGTTAATCAAGTTGATATGTGTGCGTTGCCTGATGATCGTGACTACGTGAAACTAGGAGTTGCAACACAGCTTCCCCTTCTCTCTCTCTTTATTGATAAAGTGTTCCGTGGGAGAATCTCGCTACTTTGGCCTCGCGTATGCACACATTTACATACCTGATGATGATCTGTCAACCGTTAACGGCGAGGGGTTTTGGCCATCAAACGTATGAGCTAGGAACTGGCGTTTCTCCGCCGACAGCGTAGGTCAGTAAACCACAATGCCCTCAACACTCTTTACTGATAAAGTGTTCTGTGGCAGAATCTCACTACTTTGGCCTCGTGTATGCACACTTTGTCATACCTGATGATAATCTGTCAACCGTTAACGGTGAGGGGTTTTGGCCATCAAACGTATGAGCTAGAAACTGGCGTTTCTCCGCCGACAGCGTAGGTCAGTAAGCCACAATTCCCTCAACACTCTTACTAGATGTTAATCCTCCAACAGCTCCACGAGCACCAAACGCAGCCTCAACATCCCTGAATCCAGATGCTCCCTCGTTTCCGTCCCACGCAGCACCGCACAATCACACAGCTAAGCGACTCTCGCTAAATGAAAATTCTAGAGCAATACATAATCTTAAGCCCTACAGCCCCACACTTCTATCCCACGTGCAACCCCGTCTTCCCAAACAACAACACGCACACCAATGCCAACACACCACCCTCAAACACACCTAAACCCCAATCCAACACAGCAGGCGACTCAAACCTGTGTATTCTTTCCCTCAACTGCCGATCAATCGTCAACAAGGTTGCGGAATTGACACTCCAGGCACTAACTTACTCTGCGGAAATCATCTGCCTGTGCGAAACGTGGCTCAGTCCCCACCAACAATCGGCTCTGGCCGGATTCACCGTTTTCCGTAGGGATCGACTTGTCAATGCTTCTAGCAGGGGCTATGGTGGCGTTGCTGTCTTCGTTCTTAACGACCGTTTCCGCTATATAAAGCATCGCCTAGACCTTTATCAAGATGGACGTGAGGCCACCTGGGTAGAACTGAGAATGCCCGGCTCGCCAACAGCAGCATCCCTGTTAATCTGCTGCACCCAGCTCCCCAGTATCTGCTACAGACCCCCATCTCAGTCAGTCCCAGCCACCACGTCATTCTGTGAGTGCATTGAGGATTGCCTGACCAAAGTCAACTTGTCGTCTACAACGGTCGTTTTAAATGGTTTAACGCACGCAACAGTGATTGATGTGCCAGTGACACAACAAACACCCCTGGAAAGGCTATAGCAAATTTATTGTCCTGCTTCGGACTCGCACAAGTAGTCAATTTTACAACTAACCCGGCCACGTCAGGCTAATCCTCGTGCCTTGACTTGCTCGCTACAAATTATTCCGACTTGGTAACTTCAGTTTCGCCTATTCCATCCCTAGGGGGTTCTGACCACTGCCCAATACTCTGCCGTTTCTGGATCCCAGGGTTCCTTTCTGCCAGAGACTCGCCTGACTCCCGATTCCCGGCCAACACCGTCAACTATGCATTCAAACGTGTCCCCGCCCACATTTGTCAGCAATCAACAATACCTTGATGTCCACTCAATGGGACGGCAAACTGTCATCGGTCGATGTCGATGATGCAATGGACGGATTTAGTTCGGTGCTCAGCCGAGTTTTTGCCCAGTACCTTTCTGATTATCAATACAGCGATCCCTCCGCTGGGTACTGAGGAAAATCCAGCTGTCAATACCCTCCATGGGTTGGTAATGAACTTCGAGCAGGGATCAAACGAAAATTGGACCTGCACAGCGTGAGCATGAAATACCTCTCCCCAGCAAATATTCACGCCTACAAGCGCCAAAGAAATATTGTTAAGTCCCTTACCAGATCAGCCTACAGAAAGTACATCCGCTCTATCCGAGCCACACTCACTGATCCCAACGCTCGACACTCTACAGCACCTTCCCATCAGTTACAGACAGAGGGGGTATGGGGACTTTCGTAGATGCAAGAATTTGCAGAGTGTCGGGCGTTGAGAATCAGTGAGTGTGGCTTGCACACATTTTTGGACTTGCACTTGTTATAATACATACTGGTACATCTCAATTTGAGCACTTCAACTCTCAATACTATTCTTCGGCGCTTTGAGATAGGCTTCACTTCTTTTGCTCCGTTGTCTGTATTGTCAACTTCCATTGGTAGTACCTTTAAAACTATAAGAGGACAGAGAAATTGCTTTAACTTGGTGAAGTAAAATAAACAACAACAACAACTCTGAGTTTCACGCACTAAGCGATCATCAGAAAACAGCAATAAGTAAATCTGGATCAGGATTGGTTTATATACCCACAAACTTGCAAAGTGTAAATGGCTGCGTCATGGCGAAAATCAAAAAGTTGTGAATGGCGGCAGTGCAAAGCGTAAATGACCCCATCATGGGGCAAATCGAAAAGTGCGAATGACAGCAGTGGTGGAAGGTGACAACCCCTTTTTTTCGATTTGCCCCATGATGCAGTTATTTACGCTTTGCACTGCCGGCAAGTTCACAACTTTTAGATTTGCGCCATGACGCAGCCATTTACACTTTGCTTTGTGGGTATATAAACCAATACTGATCCAGATTTACTTATTGCTGTTGTCTGATGATCGCTTAGTGCGTGAAACTCAGAGTCAGAGTCTCTGTCCTCTTATTGTTTGAGCCAGCTCTGCCTCTCGGTATTGAGCACTCTCTTGGCCAGCTTGGAACCTCTCTGTTTTGCAGCACCTTTCACCCAGGTAATGCAGGTCTTTGCAGGTCGTTGCAGGTCTTTGCAAGTGGAAATAAAACTCTGCAGGGGACTTCTAACATTCTAAGGAAATAGTTCTATTCTGCGCTATTTTACCTTTCCAATGCTTTAGGAGTGAGGCGTCAAAAGGAGAAAGAAGCGAAGAGACTTGCAAAGAAACAGGCATTAATTGGAGGTGGAAGATCTGACGAGGGCAACAGCATAGAACAATCCCCGTTAGAGAGGGGTCCTGCCAGTGAAGCATTCCAATCGGTGGAGAGCCTCGCCGGCAAAACTTCCCAATTGTCCCAAAATGGGACCGAAGAATCAACAGTTCTTCAAGCGTAACTTCAGAAGAGGGTAAGAGATGCACTGCTATAGTTTTAGGACCATTAATTAAGGGGATGTAATGTTGGACTCAGTATAAAGTCCATGCACTATAATTATAATGTCCAGAACCCTATAATACAGAGTCCATTGGTCCAAAATCCACTACACAGAGTCCAGGAGTCTGCTTAATTTTGATCAGCTCCATCCAGGTGCGCAATCGCCTATAACGAGTACACTTTTCACGGTCCAGGAGTCCAGTTCATCCAGTCAAGCCGTCCTGTGTGTAGTGCCCGAAAGAGAACAAACACCTTTTCAGTTTTGCTTGCCTCGTGGCAGCGCATTCCTTTCTTCACTTCAGCCATGGCTGCCTGTTCTGCTGCGCAGTTGCTGACAGTAATCTGTCTCGAGGTAACCAAGGAGACGTTCAAAATCAAATCTGGAAAGCGTCTTGTGGTTCTCGGAAGACGTTTCATCAGTGCGCGGGATGAAAGCAGAAATTGCAGAACGAGAAAAGTTCAGCACAGTTCAAATCTGAAGAGTGAGGTACACTGACAGTCTCTTTCGTTCGACGTCACAAGGATCCCCTGTTTGACTGGCCATGGCTGCCAGTTCTCCTGTGCAGTTGCTGACAGTAAGACGTTTCATCAGTGCACGGGCTGAGAGCAGAAAGCGGAGAACGAGAAAAGTTCAGCACAGTTCCAATCTGACGAGTCAGATACATTGACACTCTCTTTCGTTCGACGCCACAAGAATACCCTGTTTGACTGGACAAGAGCTGCCTGTACCACCGTGTCAAAATGCTGTCCAACTACATTGCAGGACGATGTGTGAGGTAAGGAAGCTTTTACTCGTTTCCATTGGTCTGCTGCTCTGTCGTTATGCTTGAATTTTGTTTCCTTTTTCAAGGAACTTATCGCGTTTGTTTGATGTTGCTTGAATGAATGCCCTAATAGTAATCAACGACTAGTAATAGTTGCGTGACAATAACATCAGTCCTCAAGGACTGCAAGAACTTTGCATCAATCATCTTGCTATCATCAATTTTAATTCATGAGAAATGTATTTTTATCCCTGTGATAATTTTGTGAACTCCACGACACTCTTCCCCTAGTATGATGTCAAATACAATGGGATCCACAAACGCAGCGGCAGTGTACTAGTAGTAGGAGGAGAATTACTTGTATGCCAATGACAAGAAAAAGCTTCCCAAGCTAATACTCGTATTCCATGAAGTAGCCATTTTGTTGTCACAAACATGACCTGTTGTCAGTGAAATTGCCTCGGAACAACAAATCATTGCATTTCCATCTTGGGGAAGACTGTTTTGACTGACGGCAACGCTGTACAGATTGTTTAAATCATCTCTTTTTCTATTTAGTTGCAGTGAAGTGAAACACTGTTGAGTACGCTACATGTATGTTGGTGTGTCTGTGCGTCTTGAGTGTGCACAAACGATCTTATTCCTCGTATTACTAATAGATTATTGTCCCCACCGTCACCTGTTCACAGGTCTTTGAGTGGATGAATTTTCATTGAGCATCACATTCGTTGAGAACTTGGTAGTTGTGTGCTCCCATGCATCATTAATAAGCGTATCGTTGTGCTATCTATTTGTTGCAGGTGTGCTGATCTTCAGAAGCTCGCGGAACTGAGTGCTGCTGAACATTTCCATGGCCATGAGCAATGATGAAGCTTGCTATTGCACTCTCAGCATGTGCTAGTATTATGCTGACTACTGCACTATGTTACTCTCTTAGTCTTTCACTACTACATGTATGTAAACGTGCGTGCACCCGTCCACGTATGCATTCGTTTCGTATTATTATTTTGTTATCCCTCTTGACTTTACGTGTAAATGGGTGGGCGTTTGCATGGCTGTTGGAGTTGCGTGTGTATTGTGTCTCTACTCTTTTCTTGGTGTTTTCTTAGCGTTGTATAATGTTGTGTGTGTGTGTGTGTGTATGTGTGTGTGTGTGTGTGTGTGTGTGCGTGCATGCATGTGTGTGTGTGTCTGTCTGTCTGTATGTCTGTCTGCGCGCGCTCGCACGCGCTCAATAATTTGAAAACAATGAATTAATCCTTGGCTCTCCATCATAGCCTTTCGGTTCTTGTTTTTCTTTCTTAGTATTTTCTTGGCGTTGTGTGTGCATGTGTGTCTGTGTGTGTGTGTGCGTGCACAATAATTTGAGAACACTACATGATTGGGATATTGTAATTTGCAGCAAAGAGACCACTTGATTTGAGGATGGTGTTTGTAGGGTTTTTCATGTTATGAAGTGGCTGCAGTGGAGCCTCAATACTTATTTTTTATCTTGAGAAGTGAATGATATAAAGGATTAAAGGGAGAGGCAGTTTTCTGGTTAATATTCACTGCTTATAGCAAATCCTATGTCCATGTCTTATTTTGAACTCTGGATAGGGGATGCCTAATTGGCTGGACTTTATGTAGGGAGTGTTGTCCACGTAAAGACACTTTATACTTGATTTCAAAGGTTTGACTCGGTACAGTGGATTTTGGACCAATGGCCACTGTATAGGGATGAAGCCAATTGGCTGGACTCTATGCAGGGAGCGATGTCCATCCAAACTTTGAGCTCACAGTTGATTCCAAGTTTGCGTTTTTTTCGTTGACTCTAGTTCTGTCTTGCAAATGTCTGTTTTACTTCAGGTGAAACTCCGCTTTGCTAATCCAATGGAATAATTTGTGCGAATTTTCCAGCGAGTGTGTCTGAGTTGTGACAGGTTGGTGTGTGTGTCTGCATGGAGTTCACCTGTTGAAGGTGTGCTAGTGTCTTGCCACAATGTCAGCAACTGTTACACAACTCATTATCATTTCCCCCAAACCGATATTTACAATTGCTGTCCCTTCCCCAACGTTGTAGAAATGAAGTTTTCTTTCATTTCCCCATACTTTCCTTACATTTTCCAAGACAGTTAGTATGTTTTCATTCACCGGTGAGAATCTGTCTGCAAATCGGCTGTGATCAAATCGTTGACACGAAAGTGAAGACACACAACTTCGCTGGTGCAGAAGATTTTGGTTTGAGTACTAAAAAGATGCAAAGAGTCCTAATTTTATCAATACATTTTGGCTTTTCTGTATTCCATTAGTTCCTCTCATCTGATTTTCTATGCACACACCGCTCGCAAGAAGTACATGTGAAAGTAAATGGGTTCAAGGAATTCTAAAAATAATCTGCACATGTTTCTCACGTTCTGCATTGATTTGAAAATTGATTGAACTAGCTGCAAGTATATTTTTGATTTACACACAAATCTAAGCGTGTACTCTGATGTGAGGTGCATGCGGTGGTTCGATGGTTTGCGATGAGGCAATTCGCAAAGTACCAACTAGTTTCAGCCAGTCACGTGACATAGTCTGGAATAGGTTATCAGGAGAAAGCTACAAACAACACAGTGACATGGGGGCAGTTCTCCGATAGGTGAGGGGAAGGATGGCTGTTCCGCTGACTTGTCCGTCTATAGATGATGGCCAG